GGAAGGGTCCCAACCCGAAACGTCAGCTTTCCTGCTCCTCTGATGCTGCCTGGCCTGCTGTGTTCCTCCAGCTCCACACTGTTATCTCTGACTCCAGCGTCGGCAGTTCTTACTATCTCAGCATTTGGCTGGGAATTGGTTTGGAGCTGTGAAGGGAGTAACGTCACTGTTTGTTGCGTAAGTGCCAGGGAGTGAGTAAGGGTGACAGGAATTCACAGACTGGCTCCTAGTGACTTGCAGCTACACAAATAACAGCTGAGATCTGACACAGCCATGTTCTATTAATAGCCAATGGGCTGTGTCTCTCAGTTTGTGTGCCAATTTTGATGATTAGGCAAGTAAGTTGAGAGAACCTTTCATGGTCAACTTTGTACAGTGGGCGAAATGGCTGCCTTTCATTCACAAAATGGTTGACCTGATGCTGGGAGCCACCCGCAGTATGGCTAAACCTGTGAAGGCAGCTTCCCCTGAACGCGGAGGGTCGAGAGGCGGACACTGTGTTGCCTTTGCAGGGGGAACGAGTAGGATTTATTAACATGTTTTGCTTCTCTCTTTCTGTCCGGCCCTTCCAGGCAATCCTTCGATCGAGCCCTCAAGACAGGGTCTGGGACGTGCAGTGGCAGCATTTCAGCTGACATAGAGTACGGAACCGAGGGGGTGAGTAATTGATGTGGGAATGAGGGATTGGCAGTTGACCATGCCCATCAGAAGATGGATTAGCATGGAAAAGGGGGATATATTTCTGCTTCCTGTACCCATTCCATGCCTATTTTCCCTATTGTGTACTCAGTGCAGAATCTAGGTTGACACAGTGACTGGGCTGAAGGCAGATACTCTGAAATAACTCGGGAAGCCTGACTGAAAAGGTAAATTGTTAAAACACCAAAATAAAGCCACTACTCATGGCACACGTAGGCTACTCCCAGCCTGGGGCAGACAGGCTCGCCCCTGGTTCTGCAGTTTTTTTAAAATATATTTCTAATCAGTCGGTTCAGAGACATTATTACATGCCTCTGGAGCGGGTGGGACTTGAACCTGGACTTCAAAGTTCAGAGAGAGGCGCACTATCCCTGCACCACAAGTTCCCTTATTGTAAACTGTCATTCCGGTAACCGGCAATGGAACCTGGTTCCCTACAGTGAAAGGACAAAATGCAAACCGTGAGATCACCAGGGAAACGGCCTGGGTCTGCTTTATAGATTTGTTTTTTTCCCCCAATCAACCTGTTCAGGGATTTTATGACAATCTCTGGAGCAGGTGGGACTTGAACCCAGGCCTCCAGGCTCAGAGGTAGGGACACTGCCACCACACCATAAGAGGGCCGCCACACCTCCAGGGCTGGTTTTTTTTTTAAATTTTTCTTTATATTTGGAAGTGTTATCTCTCTCAACAGAAGAGTTTTTCCACCACCATGACCTTTTTTCTTCGTTTTTAACTACTAACCACTACCAGTAAATCATCCATGTGGCGAATTCAATGTTTACATCCAAGCATTGTTGCACATTTCTGGTGGCAGGTGGGACTTGAACCTAGGTCTCCCGGTCCAGGGGCAGTGCCACTACCACTGCAGCCCACACGAAGAAGCATGGGTCTGCTTTTTTTTTCCTGTGTACAGAAGTGCTCTGACACAAACTGAACGTTTGTTTTTTTTTCCTAATCACACTGATTTTTTTATTTGTTTTTACTGGATCTGCTTTACATATTTTCTAATGAACCTGTGGAAGTGTTATTGCAAAGCTCTGGAACAGATGAAACCTGAATCTGGGCCTCCTGGCTTAGAAGCAGGGGCACTACCACTGCCCCACAAGAACCCCCTGGGTCTACTTTATCTTATTTTTCTCGTGTCAGAAATATTCTCTCACACAACTGAGCAGCTTTCCCACCACCAAATCACTGTGACATTTTTATCCAACTAGTAACCACCACTAGTAAATCACCCATGCAGTCAATTAGAAATTTGCATCCAAACCACCAAAAGTGAGGGAAGGGATCGGGTCTGCATTTGTAAAGAATTCCGATCCGGAGTCCTTTGCAGGAAGTAATGGCCCACTACTAGACTATTAATCCAGGTTGAAGTCCTACCATGGCAGATGGTAGAATTTGAATTCAATAAGTATCTAGAATTAAGAGTCTAATGATGACTACGAACCCATTGTCGATTGTTGGAAAAACCCATCGGGTTCACTAATGTCTCTTTAGGGAAGGAAACTGCCATCCTCACCTGGTCTGGCCTACATACCCGCAGCAATGTGGTTGACATTAAACTGCTCTCTGGGTGGTTAGGGGTGGGTAATAAACGCTAGCCTGGCCAGCGATGTCCACGTCCCATGAATGCAAAGAACAAAGAAAATTACAGCACACGAACTGGCCCTTCGGCCCTCCAAGCCTGTGCCGATCCAGATCCTCCATCTAAACCTGTCACCTATTTTCCAAGGATCTGGATCCCTCTGCTCCCTGCCCATTCATGTATCTGTCTAGATACATCTTAAATGACCATATCGTGCCCGCCTCTACCACCTCTGCTGGCAATGCGTTCCAGGCACCCACCACCCTCTGCGTAAAGAACTTTCCACACATATCTCCTTTAAACTTTTCCCTTCTCGCCTTGAAATCGTGATCCCGAGTAACTGAGTCCCCCACTCTGGGGGAAAAAGCTTCTTGCTATCCACCCTGTCTATACCTCTCATGATTTTGTAGACCTCAATCAGGTCCCCCCTCAACCTCCGTCTTTCTAATGTAAATAATCCTAATCTACTCAACTTCTCTTCATAGCTAGCGCCCTCCATACCAGGCAACATCCTGGTGAACCTCCTCTGCACCCTCTCCAAAGCATCCACATCCTTTTGGTAATGTGGCGACCAGAACTGTACGCAGTATTCCAAACGTGGTCGAACCAAAGTCCTATACAACTGTAACATGACCTGCCAACTTTTGTACTCATTACCCCGTCCGATGAATGAAAGCATGCCGTATGCCGCCTTGACCACTCTGTCCACCTGCGTTGCCACCTTCAGGGTACAATGGACCTGAACATCCAGATCTCAGAATTTTAAAAAAAGTGGAGTTACAGTTTGTCAGGCTGTTGCCTGTTATCAAGGGAACTCGTATTCAACAAGCTCCACAGGAGATTAATTAGTGATTCCCCATGAGCCTTAAAGGGGATATCACATCCTCCAAAACTGGCAGTGAGACTTGTTTCCTTCACATGCCATTCTACGTGCTCTGAGAACCTTTTTTGCCTGAACTGCTTTGTCCAGGGCAGATTTGAGAAAAAGGTTTTGTTTGTGTCTCACCTTGTTAATGCCTCCCTCCCTCCCTCCCTCCCTTTCAATCCTCACTCCCTGAATGATAGGAAAGCAAATTTTTTAAATTCACTCACGGGACATGGCTGTCACTGGCCCGTCCAGGATTTATTGCCCATTCCTAATTGAAATCTACCACATTGTTATGTTGGTTGGTTACCTGGCCTGTAAGGATGGCAGTTTCCTTCCCTAAAGGACAACACTGGTCATCATTAAACTCTTAGTTCCAGATTTTTATTAGTTTCGTGTGCCACCATCTGCCGTGGCGGGATTCGAACCTAGGTCCCCAGAACATTCCATGGGTCTCTAGATTAAGCCCAGCATTAATACCACTAGGCCATAGCCTCCCCCATTATGTCTATGTTGGTACTCTGAAGGAACTGTCTAATAAACACCAGTCTTTCCCCTGCTCAATTGGCCATATCGCTGCAAATGTTTCCCTTTCAGGTATTTTCCCAGTTTCCCCCTTTGAAAGTTCCTATCAAATTGCCCTTTTAGGCAGTGCATTCCAGATCTTAACAGCCAGCTATGTTTGTTGTTAAATTTTCCCCTCTGGTTTTTTCATTTATCTTAATTATGCTCCTCGGAATCTCTGTCAAAATATCCCCCTCCCTCAGGTCATTTGGAATCTCCACCTGACTCATTGCCAATTCCCCTTCAGACCAAGGTCAGTGACACACTCTGGGTTGTGGTGACATTAAAGTGTGGAAACAAAGTGCACGTTTGTGCATCTCTCCCACAGATTTGCACAGACGTGTACCTAACGCACCCGCACGCCACTCTTACATGGTCGGACACAGTTTCTAGCTGGCTGTTCCACGTGAGCTTCAAGAATATCTTCCAGTTCCCGATTCTCTCCACATCACTGAAGTTCCTCATTCCTGTTTCCGTTCCTTTCTGAATCTTTTCTGCAACCTCTCATGAGCCTTTGCATCAACTTTCAGTTCAAACCCAGAACTGGATGCAGTACTACAGCTGAGGCCGAGCCTGTATTTTGCACCAGTTTAGCAACATCTCCCTGCCCTTGTACTCTGTTCCTCTGTTAATAATGTCTAGGATGCTGTATGCTTTATCAACTCATGTCTCGACCTGTTTTGCCACCTCTAGTGGTTTATCACCTGCACAGCCAGAGGTCCTTCTGCTTCTGCACCCCCTTTAGCGTTGTAGGCCTTACTTTATACTGTTTCTGTGCAGTATTCGTACAAAAAATGAATCCCTGCATTGCATATAACTTAACCATTCAACTTCTGGCTTTATTCTGGAGCTGCCTTCCCTCAAATAGCACCCTTGGTTTGGAGCACAGGCAGGTGTACTGTTTGTTGGTTACACTGCACAGCGGCCATCCCCTTGGCTTGGATATGGCCACTGCATGTGGAACGGCAAGCGGTTCTTCCCATTCAGATGTCATGGGACAGGCGCTGACTGCTTCCTTCTGTGCTGTGGGTTGATGGGCTGCGTTGTTTCCACAGGGCTGCAGCGGTGGGGCCGTAGATTGGTGCGACACAGGGACAAATGGAAAGAACGGAGAAGAAATACCTCAATGCGGAGCGCGAGGATGAGATGGTGAGTCTGGGATAGCACAAGGTGCCACACTTGGAACGGAGAGAGCGAGAAGGGAGGGTGGGAAAGAGAATAGCATTAACCTGAGGAAGGGGTGGTTGCTCACTTAAAACAGCCAAGCAGGAATTTCTTCTCTCCGATGGGAGTGAATCTGTGGATATGCTGAAACAGGGCCGTTCAGCATCTCCAAGGTTATGAGAGATTTTTAATCAGGAAGGATATCGAAGGTTGTGGGTAAAAGGCAGGAATGTAGAGTTGAGGATTATCATCTCAGCCATGGTCTGGTTGAGTGGCGGTGATGGATGAGGCAAAGGCAGGCAGCATTGGTCTCGGGTACAGGCAAGGCATTTGCAAGATTGCAGTGAGGGTTTAAAAAGTTGCTGACCTGGGTGGAAGGGGGCTTTTTGTGAAACGCTGCGGTGGATGGGGTGTGCGGGCTTGGAGTTGGGTGGGAGATCAACCCAAGAAAGTGCATGGAGAGAATGAGGGGGTGAGGAATCCATGAGGTTGGGGTAGAGGAGGTTCAAAAAGAAAAGGATGTCGATGAGGATTTGGGGGATGGTGGGGAGGCACGGTGAAGGTTTGAGGTGTGAGGAGAGGGGTGATGATAAGGGCAGGTCACACGGTGGCTCAGTGGTTAGCACTGCTGCCTCACAGTGCCGAGGAGCCAAGTTCAATTCCACCCTGGGGTGACTGTGTGGGGTTTGCACATTCTGCCTGTGTCTGCATGGGTTTCCTCTGGGTGTTCTGGTTTACCCCCTCAGTCCAGAGATGTGCAGGCTAGGTGGGTTAGCCCTGAGAAATGAAGGATTACAGGGAAAGGGGGTGTCTGGCTGGGATGTCCTTCAGAGGGTCGATGTGGACTTGATGTGCCAAATGGTCTGTTTCCACACTGTGGGGATTCTGTGAGGGAATGGTTGGGGAAAGTGCCGTTTTTGTGGGAGGGTGGGTGTGCATATTTGAGGTAATTGGTGGACAGTGGGGAGCTTGGCTGGGTGGGATTAAAAAGGGTGTGTGTTGGGAAGGTGGGATCAGGGTCATGCGGTGTCACGAGGGATTGGGAAGGAGTGTGGGTTGTGAAGGTTTGTATTTGGGTCAGGGTTGTGTAAGTCATTGGGAAGGTTGGCTGAGAGTTGTGGAGTCTCTGATTGTGGGGCCTCGTTAGAATCACATCGGGCATTGGGAAGGAGGAGGGAGTGTTGAGGAGGGTCAGGGCTTTGGATGGGGGTGAGGATTTGAGCAGCTTGAGCGATTGGGAAGGATGGGTGTAAGGATGCGGAGGTTCAGGTTGGGAGGATTGGAGTTGCTTGAGGGATTGGGGAGTATTGGAGTCGGGCAGCAACGAGCTGGGTCAGGGTCCTGACTGGATTCTGCTGACCCTGTTCTCTGTCTTGCCACAGGAAGTGGTGGGTTACCAGCCATGCTGGTGGAAGCTGGGCCTGGTTGGTGTAGGGACAGTATGCAGTGGCGGGCTGCTGCTCCTCGTTCTCTACTGGATGCCTGAGTGGAGCGTCAGGTGGATGTGCAGGGAAGTCTCGCTCCGAGAGGCCACAGTTCTGCTGCTTTGGACCACAGTAAGTAACAAGTGCAGTCACCTAGGAGAGATAAGATGTTGTAGATTACTGCCCTCTCTGATCCATTGCTTCTGGAAAGATAACATTCTTAGGCCATAATTCTTCACCTCAATCAACATTATTTAAACATTGTCAGGCCGTTACCTCATTGCTGTTGGCGGGAGCTTGCTGTCTGTAAATTGGCTGTCATCTGATATAGACCCCCTAAGGTCAGAGGGCCACCTACTGCTGATCGGTGGTACTGCGAGCTGAGTGCACATTGCCACCTTCATCCAGCCAGTGGTTCTACTACTGACAGAGTATTTCTTTTAACATCTACTTACTTGCAGGATGAGTTCCGCACATGCTTCAGGGTCTGGGTGCTATTCATGGATGCTCCAGGCTACGATCCCTTGGGTGTGCTGTTTCCCAGCCGCGACAAGGAACCTGTGTGCAGTGCAACTTCCATCGTGATTGAGCACCCAGAGTGTGAAAAGGATCTGTTACCCAAGACTCCAGACGTGGAAAGAGTTCAGGTCAGATTGAGAGTTTTTTTGTTTTCTCTCCTTTCTGATTGAGACGGGGCAAACCTGACGCTGTAACCATAACCTTGTCTGGCATTACTATCACCCCCGTAATCCAGATGGCAGGAACAGAAGCATGAGCCAGTGTATCAAACAACCAAACAACCTTCTCCCCATCTTTTCGAAGAACAGAGACAAACCCAAGATCGATGTAGGAGGGATAAAGTACTCGCAGATACTTCAGTCTGGCTTGGGGATTTGGTGATTACTACTCTGGTTGAACATTTTGCTCTTGTTCCTCCGAGACTTCAAACCACGTACCTGCCACCGTCCCACACTCATCGTACGCACTTTGATGCTGAGGTTCATTGACCTGCCGCATACTCAAACCTGTGCCCCTCTCCACTGGTGTGCACTGGGCTGATAGCGGTGCAGACGTATCTGGGAGCAAGAGAATGGCTTCTTTCCAGAGTGTGACTTTGCTGACTCACCATCAAATGGGGGAAATGTGGCACTCGGGTGTTTAACTAGCTGGGATTGTTATGAACCCCAGACCTGAGGTGCCAGAGGGATTGCGTGAGCTGATCTCAGCTGATTGTCTCTGTATCCAGGGTCTGGGAGAGCTGAAGATGTGTTTACTAAGGTTTCTCCTCTAGATTTCAATCCGCTGCAGGAGTATGAGGGGCACATTAGACTCCACTGCAATACACCCTCTTGCAGAATTGAGGTTGATGGGCAGCTAGAGCGGAGTGCCACTGGGATTTTGGCAGGAGTGATGATGAAGGCAAAATACTCCTTACATTCTATGTTCCCTGCCAACCCTGACCCTGATATTTATCTCCTCTTCTTTTTGCCAATTAGATCCGCTATTTCGTCCATCAAAACGTCAAGTACTTGTGGAGCCCACGTGGGCAGATGTTCTATAGACTGGCCGCGCTGGAGGAGGGGATCCCATGCTCAGCAGTGCATGCATGCCATGGTGCCACTCTGCCTGCAGTCAGCAAAGACTATCGGTATGTGCCCACATGGGGAGGAGGCCATGGCAATTGAGAGACAGGTGGCCTGTTCCCTCTGTTACAGCTACGTAAATTGGCACAGACCTAGCCCAAGATACGTCGCGGTTGCACCTATCGAATAATATATGAATCCTTTCAGGCAATATCAGGGCACACATTGCAAATGTTTGGTCACAGAGGTAGGTTTTGAGGACCGTCTTAAAACAGGCAAGTGAAGTTTAGGTTGAGACTTCCAGAACTGAGGACCTTAGCACCAAAGGTGCAAGGCACCAAGGGTGAGGAATTGGGGTTTGGGAATGTATTTAAGAGGCCAGAATGCAGAGATCTCAGCTGTAGAGCTGGAGGTGATTACAGAGGTGAGGGAGAGAGTCAATTGCCTAACAGGCGACTGGCATAAGTCATTGAGCTGAGTGGGAAAGTCCTTGGGATTCAGGGTGACTTACTCCTCCTCGGGTTCAATAGAACGCGCCCAACGGCGGATGATGGAATAATTTTGGACTGCAGGACATGTCGGCTAAGCTGTGTCCCGTCTTTTGGGCTGGCTTGATCTCTGTGCCTGTGGATAATTTGCTGAAGCTGAGGTGCAGCGAGGGAGATGAGAGGATGGTAGGTATGATGCCACAGCCTTGCTTTGACCTGTCGTCACTGAATTGTGTGTCTGTGGTGCTACTGTCGGTGAAGGTCATGGTTTTTATTGTGGAAGAGGAGACCGTTCTATAAACCTTCATGATTGACAGGCTTTTTGTGTGCAGCGTTGCTGCTTGTGTTTATTTTGACTGTCCTGCGCATTGAAAAATATTGTCGATGATGCCTCTTGATGATCAATAACTGCCCTCTGACTCTGGAGGAAGTTCCTCAGCCACTGGGAGCAAGCAATTGAGGAGGATCCTTGCAATGATCTTCCCTTTGGCAGGTAGCACGGAGACTCCCCCATAGTCATTGCAGTCAGTCTTGACTCTCATTGAGTATAGCCTTGATCGCGGATACGTACAACCCCTGGTGGGGGCTGTGACGTTGCGCAGCTGTGCCAGGCGCATGTCTCTGCTGTGATTCAGAATCTTGGCAGGAACACTGTCTGCCCCAGAGTCCTCACTGTTTCTCAGCTGTCGTGTAGGGTACTCGGCTTCACCCTGTACCTTGGCCTGAGTCTGAGCCATGTTGAGTGTTGCAGAGTTTTAGACGAGGTTCTAATTCATGCAGGGTAGAATGTAGCAGAACGGTGCTTTGGAATAACCAAGCCTCGGGGTAATGAAGGTGCAAATGAGTGTTCAGCAGAGGGTGAGGTGTGACCAAGCCGGGCACCAATTCAGAGATAGAAATAGAAGTTCTTAGTGTAGGGAGGACATTATTAAACTGGAAAGGGTGCATAAAGGATTGACAAGGATGTTATTAAACTGGAGGCTTTGAGTTATAAGGAGAGGCTGGATAGGCTGGGACTTTTCCCCACTGATGTGTAGGGAGCTGAGGGTTAACCTTGTAGAGATTTATAAAATAATAAAGGGCATGGATAAGGTGACTAGCCAAGGTATTTTCCCCAGGGCAGGGGCATCCAAAACTAGAGGGCGTGGGTTTAAGGTGTGAGGGGAAAGATTTAAAAGGGACCTGAGGGGCAACTTTTTCCACACAAGATGGCGTGTGTATGGAATGGGCTGCAGAGGAAGTTATAGAGGTGGGTACAGTTACAACATTTCGAAGACACTTGGGCAGGTACATGAATAGGAAAGACTTGGAGAGATATGGGCCAAACGCAGGCAATGGGACTAGTTCAGTTGGGGAAATGTTGTCAGCATGGACGAGTTGGGCTGAAGGACCTGTTTCTGCACTGTATACCTCCATGACTCTATGACCAGCCATACTCAGCTATGGAAAGATTGTGTAGTTGACTGGGCCTCAGGCTGCAGACAGGTCAAGAAAGTTTAGCTTTGTCATAGGGTATAAGTCATGGTGTGATAGAGTTTCAGTATTGTAGCAATGGTGGAAATCTGATCTGATGGAGTTCTGGGACTTGGCGTTGGGATATAACAGCACGTTCAAGGACTTTGGAGCGGAAAAAGAGGTAGAAATGGGATGATAATTTGCAACGATGGAGGGGAACGAGATATGTAACTCTGGTGGGTTTCCTCTAAATGAGGTGGTGTGCTCTGTTCTCGCTGGTGGGTGTGGTGGGGACTGTTTTCTATGTGAGGTCATTGGTTTGTCTCCAGCTTCTCTCATGTTCTGCCTTTACAGGAAACTCTTCTATGGCAAGAATCAGATTGACGTGAAAGTGCCTTCAATTCCTCGACTCCTGATAAAGGAGGTAGGGCTCTTGGTAATGGAACTTTGTACCCTTTAGCCAGTGGCTCTGCTGAGCCTCATGAGCTGGTTAAAATGAGAGGATGAGTGGGAGGCCACATTGTTCACAGCTGGAGCAGGCAAGTCTCTGTGAGATGGCAGGGCAACTTCTATCAGCATTCGACCTACAGGCAGCATGGTGGCTCAGTGGTTAGCACTGGTTTGATTCCACCCTTGGGTTTCTTCAGTTTCCTCCCACAGTCCAAAGATTAGATGGATTGGCTGTGCTGAATGGTCCATTGTGACCAGGGATGTGCAGGCTAGGTGAGTTAGCCATGGGAAATGCAGGGTTACAGAGATAGGGTAGGAAGTGAGTCTGGATGGGATGCTCTTGTGAGGGTTGGTGTTAACTTGATGGGCTGAATGGCCTGCTTCCACATTATAGGGATTCTGTGATTCCTGCATTCTGCTGAGCCAAGGTGTGTGAGGGTTGAGTGGATGTGGGGAAGGGAGCAATGTGCTGAAGTTGGTAGAAGTCTGAATTCCAGGAAAGTGGGGCCTGTTGCTCTGGATTGGGGCAGTTACATCCCTGTCATTAATGACAGTATCAACAATTTTCTTTTCAAAATTTGTATCTAATCTTATGCTGTACCGCCCTCCCAGTATTTGACGAGGACAGTGTTGAGAAAACTTTACTTTCAGTTTAAAACTGTAGCAAGAGCTTTACTTTCAATTTGAGTAGAGGGAGCTTCACTCTGTGTGTGTGTGTGTGTGTGTGTGTGTGTGTGTGTGTGTGTGTGACCCCGTCCCCGTGCTGTCCCTGTCTTGCCAGGTTTGATGGGGACAGTGTTGAGGTAGCTTTGCTGTCATTAAGAGTAGAGAGAGCTTTACACTGTATCTAACCTTGTGCTGTCCTTGTTGTGGGAGTACTCGATGCGGGGGGGAGTAGTGTTGAGAAAGCTTTACTTTCAGTTTATAAAGGTAGAGGAGATTTTACTGACTATAACCCACCTTGTACTTCTCTTGTTTTCTGTAGGTATTGAATCCATTCTACATTTTCCAAGTCTTCAGTGTGGTTCTGTGGTCCTTTGATGATTATTACCTGTACGCATCTGCCATTGTCTTCATGTCTGTCATCTCCATCTGTACCTCCCTATACACTGTGAGAAAGGTAAAGAGCTCTCAGTCTTTGTGTAAACAGCTGTACAACCAGCTCAAGACACCATCTGAAACCTTCTCAACATCATCTTTTGTTTCATTCCCTCAGCAATATGTTCTCCTCCACGACATGGTGGCTGCCCACAACGTGGTCCGTGTGAGGGTTTACCGCAACAACAACAGTGAGTCGACCTCTTGTACAGAATGCTTTCTCTGTTTCTTGCCGCGCTGCTACCTTCCCTTGTGTCGACTCTGACTCTCTTGGTGTCTAATTCCAGCTCTTGGAAGGGCAGGCGGCAGGTGAAGAGTTCATTATTTCTGCCCCCTCCGTTTTGGGTGTTTATCTCCTTTTTTTGTTTAAAATATTCACAGTGACAGAGGAAATCTTCTCAACTGACCTGGTACCTGGAGATGTCATCGTCATCCCGACCAATGGCATGATAATGCCCTGTGACGCCGTGCTGATCAGCGGAACGTGTGTGGTCAACGAGAGCTTGTTAACGGGTGAGGAATGAACAGTGTGAGTGTGTGCGCACTGGTGAGAGGTTACTGCCTGCCAGAGGCCCTCTGTCACTGTGTCCATAAAACAACGTCCATTGTAATGTTCCCTGTGAAACCGCCTTCCTTGGCAGCTAGTTTAGATTTAGATTTTGTTGTCATGTATACTCAAGTACAGGAGTACAGTGAAAAGTGTCTAATGGCACCATTACTACTTTGTACCTAGTTACAAAAAACTTAAGGTAGGAAGTAGAAAAAACAAACTTAATGTTAAGCATTACCTTTGTAGAAAAATAAAGAAATAAGGGAATAGTTAACATTCAAGTCCTCCTTAATATAAACTAGGAAAATGAAGGAATAAAGGTAAAAGTTCAGTCTTTGAGTCCTCCGCTTAGCTCACCCTCCGGGGCACCTCAGCTGGTGCAGATACTGGGGTACTTTGCTCGCTCTTACTGTGTTGGGCCGCAATGCCGTCGCTGTCGCTGTTGCTGAAGCTGCCTCTTCCACGATCTCCACCTGCTGCCTCTGGAACAGGCCCAGGCAGGACCCACTTGCGCACAGCGATGCCCCCGCTCTGGGCCGAGACACCCCGATATGTCATCCGATGTGTAATCTGACCAGTAGCAGGCATTGCCCTGCCAAATGGGCATCTTGACTAGACCCACCAGAACCACAGTGGAAGTCAGAATGGGCTCATCTCAGGTTATCGTTCGGTGCAAGAGGAATTGAATACAAAGTGAGGAAGGTATTCTGTTCTGATGAGACCACCTCTAGAGTACTGCAGACACTATTGGTCTCCACGTTAAAAGGATGTAAATGTTTTAAAAGCAAGTGGGTGAAAGGTTACGGGGGAGGGTGGGGGATGGGCAAGAATGTGAAATAATGAGAGTCAACTCGAGCTTATTGACTGTTGGGGCAGGTTTGAGGGACTGAGTGGCCTTCAAATCTATATGTTTGTGTGCTCGGAGGAGGATGAGGTGTTTCCAAAATCAGGAATGATGGTTAGCACTGTTGCCTCAGTGCCAGGGACCTGGGTTCAATTCCAGCCTCGGGCGACTGTCTGTGTGGAGTTTGCCCGTTCTCCCTGTGTCTGGGTGGGTTTCCTCCCACAGTCCAAAGATGTGTATGCTAGGTGGGGTTAGCCATGCTAAATTGCCCCATAGTGTCAAGAAATGTGTAGGTTAGGTGGATTAGCCATGGGAAATGCAGGATTACAGGTATAGGGCTGGGGTGTGAGAGAGTCTGGGTGGGACACCCTTCAGAGAGTTGGTGTGGACTTGATGGCCAAATGGCCAGTTTCCATGCTGTAGGGATTCTGAAATCTATGAATATCTTAATGAGGGGATGGAAGGGTTGGTAGGATTTATGAATGATACCTGTTCTCCCTGGTGCAGTGAAGGTTAAGAAGAGTCGATGCATAAAGTGTAATACTCAGTAGAGCAGACAGCACCTTTGCAGAAAGATTCAGACTAAACATTTCAGGTCACGGCAGCCCTTCTTTGGGACAGTTATACAGATCTCCAGCTGCTTTTTGCAAATTTAAGGGGCGAGTTAATAGTTGTGTTCTAAATCTTGAGAGGTTTTTGATGGATTAAGTGATGCTTCCAGTGACAAATGGCAACAGTAACCAAATGACACAGATTGAAGAGTTAAAAATAACCAGAGGAGGAGACGACGAGGGACATGAAGAGAAATTTTTAAACACGGTGTGTGCGATCTGGATTATGCTGCTCGCAAGGATGCTGGAAGCAGGTAGAATAGGAATTTCAAAAGGGGGAGTTGAATAAATACGCGAAGGAGAGAATAGCTGCAGATCTGTACGACAAGAGGGAGGGAGTGGGCTAATTGTGTAGCAAGAGCCTGCATCATTCAAGACAAGGCAATCCGGAATCCACTTTGTGTTCCATCCACATCAGATGCTGAGTGGCAGCAATGTGGGCCATTAACGAGCAGCACCACCGCTGCTTTAACTGCACCTTCAGGACCTCTAATATTTAAAATGACAAGGACTGCAAGTGACATTGGGACCCCAACCTCCTGCAAATTCCCCTCCCATGTCACTCACCATCCTGACTTGGAAATTAGGGGAGGCAATGGTCTAGTGGTATTATCGCTGGACTGTTAATCCAGAGACCCAGATAACATTCTGGGGACCTGGGTTCAAATCCTGGTGGAATTTGAATTCAGTAAATATCTGGAATTAAGAATCTAACGATGACCATGAATCCATTGTCAATTGTTGGAAGAACCCACCTGGTTCGCTAATGTCCTTTAAACTGCCATCCTTACCTGGTCTGGCCTACATGTGACTCCAGACCCACAGCAATGTGGTTGACTCCTAACTGCCCTCTGGGCAATTAGGGATGGGCAATAAATGCTGCCTAGCCAGCGATGCCCTCGTCCCGTGAAGGAATAAAGAAACAAAAATATCACTGTCGCTGGGTCAGAATCCTGGAAGTCCCTCCCCAACGATACCGTGGATGCCCCCTGCACCCCTCAGACTGTAGAGCTTTAAAGAGGCAGCTCAACACCAACCACCTTGAAGGGAATTAGGGATGGATAATAAATGCTGACCTAACCAGCGACGCCCACGTCCGGTGAACAAATGAAACAAAGGCAGCGTAGGTTCTATGGCTTTCCGTGTTTTGAAACTCATTTGGCTCTGATCAATTTTATCACCGATCACCACCTTCAAATGTCTCCCTTATGACCCATGAATTGCCTTTTTAACTGTGTGTCTGCTTTCTCCTCCTCCCCTGCACCACAGGGGAAAGTGTGCCCGTCTTGAAAACCAACCTTCCGGTCCCTGCCCACTGCACCAATGGGACGGTACAGGAGGAGGAGGAAGAGGTATACTGCCCAGAGAACCACAAGCGCCACACTCTCTTCTGCGGCACAGCCGTCATCCAGACGCGGTTTTACAGCGGCGAGCTGGTGAAAGCTGTCGTCGTCCGTACAGGTACGTGAGGGAGATTAAGGTAGTGGATAGCCTGAGCTGCTTGTCTTGGCCTTGACTATGACATGAGAAGTTCTCATTCCTTTTCCCTATCCTTAGGCTTCTACACCTCAAAAGGGCAGCTGGTTTGCTCAATCCTTTACCCAAAGCCCACCGACTTCAAGCTGTACCGCGATGCGTATCGCTTCCTGCTCTGCCTGGTGTGTGTTGCTGGCATCGGCATGGTCTACAGTATCATCAGCAGTTCCCTGAAGGGGGTGAGTATGGAGTGTGACCTGGGTGGGGGCGCACCTGCAGTCCACTGTCCTGTATTTCTTCGACTCATGCTGTTCATCTCCTCTGTTGGGATGTTGGTTGTGCTGGGGTTAGCCTCCGTGCCCCCTCTTGCCCGTTGTTACAAAGTTGTGTAGAGTAATCGTGAATTAGAAGGCAGGAAGCTAGAATTTGTTTGTAAAAACAATGATAAGGGAGAAGAGTGCGTGGTTCCTTTAAGAGGTAAAGTGCTTTTCTAAGCTTAGAGATTTATACAGGAAAAAAGTCTGAATGTAGCTGAAGCTGAACAGCCAGTTCTGAAATGCAAGCACATATCAATTGGCTGTGTGGTTGGAAACCTTAGGCTTATTTTGATATTTTGGCAACTCGCTGGAATCTACCAATTAATTTAAACCAAGCACTTAGCGATTGAAAGCCAATTGAGTTTAAATCTGATGGTTTTGACAACCTTGGAACAATGCTATTGTAAGAAAATTGATATGTCATCCAAGGTATATAAGGGGAGGGTTTTTGAAAATTGGTGTGAGAGCAAACTGCCATCTGAGAAATAATCACCTAGCTCTCAAGAAATCACTAAGCTCTCTGAGAAAGCACCATCTATCCATAAAAGGTACCACGGCACTTCTATCTAAGAGTCCTCACAGAAGAAATTAGAGAAAACATCCCTGACAGCTGGATCAGCAGAAGAAAAGTGTTTGACTTGAGAACAGCAGAAGAAAGGCATGTAGACTTTGAAAGACTAACTTTTAATTTATTTTCTTATTACTTGGGTTTATATAAGTGGGACTTGTGTATTTTTGGAACAGCATACCATTAGAATTTTGTTCAGTTAGGGAATAGTTCGTAGTTATGGGGCAATTATTCAGTTTGTTAGTAATTCTGTTAATTTGTTCACTGTTAGAGTTTAAAAAAAAATTGTTATTTATAAAGTGAATATCAGGGATTTTCTTTTATTTAACCACTCTTTTTAACAGATTATAAAGGCAAGATGAGCTTCTGTGTGTTTTTGGTTTAATTATTAGAAGGGAACTCCCACCATAACAGATTGGGGGGGGTGCTTGTGTTTCAGGTTAATTATCAGAGGGGTTCGACCTTCCCCTTCTCCATAACACCCATCAATTTACTAGAAATTCAGAGCAGGCCAGTTACGTTCCACACAATAGATTGTGTTTGTGACGTTTAACATTTTAGTGCTTTTGGATAAAATTTTAGAGGGCACTGCGGGGGAGATGATAGCCTAGTGATAATGTCACTGGATAGTAAATCCAGAGACTGAGGCTAATGTTCTGGGTGCAAGGGTTCAAATCCTGCCATGGCAGCTGATAGAAGTCAAATTGAATTATTAAATCTGGAAAATTAGGTAATTGAACAGTAAAGCTTGAAAATTAGCATTGATTCATTGATTCACAAACGTCCTTAGATTTATAGAAGCCCAGCAGTATGGGAGGAGGCTATTTGGACCATCGAGTCCACATCAGCCCTCTGAAGAGCATCCTACCCAGACCAACCTCCCTACCCAACCCTGTAACCATGCGTTTCCCATGGCCAATCCACCTAGCCTGCACACCTCTGGACCATGGGAGGAAACCCACACAGACACGAGAAGAATGTGCAAAACCCAGACAGTCACCCCAGGGTGGAATGGAACCTGGGTCCCTGGCACTGAGGCAGCAGTGCTAACCGCTGAGCCACCATGCTGCCTTTACTCAGTCTGGTCTACATGTGACTCCAGACCCAGAGCAATGTGGTTGGCTGTTTAGTGCCCTCTGAAATGTCCAGCAAGCCACTCAATTCAAGGGCAGTTAAGGATGGGCAGCAGATGCTGGCTTTGTCAGTGCCACCCACATCCCATAATAGAAGAAAGAAAATAGAAGGTGCTTTTGGAGTGTTTGCTAAATGGGCTGGTGCATATTTCCAGTATCTGAGGGCTACAGGGAGCTAAACAACCTGCAAATAATGTTAAGGGCCTTAGGTTGATGAAAATGGCTGTTCAGACGTTTCAAGCAAACTTGCTAAATGGGATTCCTGATGACTCACCTTAACCAGTTTTGTTCTATCGTGGCCAGTCAGTCTTCCATGATGTGACCCTATGTGGTAACTATATACAGCAGCACTTCCCAAGCCATTCTCCCCCGCTGCAGCTCCACTTTGAGACTTGGCAATGATCACGACCCTTCTGTGAGACTGGAGACAGCAAAGGTGTGGGGGGGGATGTGTCAGCACTGGTTATGGGGGTAACGGAAGCACGTGTTAGAGTGGGAGCTTGGTTGCTACAACTTGGTCAGGACTCCACAGCAGCTACTGCTGCCTTGGGACTTGTGACCTCACCTAAGGGCCCAGTCCCCCACTTTGGAAAGCCCTGCTTTGCATACCTAAGAGAAACAAATTATTTGTTTAAGCTGCAGCCTAAATGCCTCACTGGTGCTATTAGTGTTTGGGAGGGTGTTTGTGACTGACCTTTGCTGACCTCTCCCCTCTCTTGACCCCAGGAAGAGGCTCAGCGCATCATCATCGAGGCGCTAGACATCATCACGATCACCGTGCCACCCGCCCTCCCTGCTGCCATGACGGCTGGCATCGTCTACGCACAGCACCGCCTCAAGAGGAAGGGCATCTACTCTATCAGCCCGCAGCGCATCAACGTGTGTGGGCAGCTCAACCTGGTCTGCTTTGACAAGGTCAGTTGTCTTGGAGAGGGGACAATGGTGCTTAGCAGGTGGCAGGGAGGTTGGGGCGCTCCTTGATGTGTCCCCCACACCCTGCACCCTCCCAAACGCTGTACCCTTTGGCGTTACTGAGCCAGCACCACCACCTATGCACCTCACCCCCTCCCCTCCTGTCACTTCCCATTGTCTCTGAGACTGACTCATTCCTGAGTGTCCCACTTCAAGCTTTCCTTCTGTATCTGTCTGTTGCAATGGCTCACCAGTCAGATAAGGCATTGTGGCCAAACCTTGTTGAATGAAGGTGAGGGACGTCCCTGAGACCTGGAGAATGTTGAAAACCAGCCGCTCAACAATGCCTCTGTTCCTCTCGAGGATGCTGCACACCATCCCTCAAACTGGTCACAAGCAATATCGCACCTAACTGTTAGATTTCTGAAATAAGTTCCCAAATAAATTCCAAAATAAATTGCGTGAGAATCAGTACCTTAGAACAAAAAAGAAAAACTAGAATGGGTAGAGGACAAGAGCATCCTCTGTGCTCAGGCAGCCAAGCCTCCGCTTTCGCTTTAGCAGTTGCAACAAATTCCCGGTGGAGAACCAGGCCATTCAGCCCATTAGTAGAGTAGGCAATGGCCTAGTGGTATTATTGCTGGACTGTTAATCCAGAGACCCAAGTGATGTTCTGGGAACCTGGGTTCGAACCCCGTCACGGCAGATGGTGGAGTTTGAATTCAACGTTAAAAAAAATCTGAAATTACGAGTCTAATGATGACCATGAATCAATTGTTGGAAAAACCCATCTGGTTCACTAATGTCCTTTAGGGAAGGAAACTACCATCCTTACCTGGTCTGGCTGACATGTGACTCCAGACCCACAGCAACGTGGTTGACTCATAACTACCCTCTGGGCAATTAGGGATGGGCAATAAATGCTGGCCTAGTCAGCGACACCCTCATCCCACGAATGAATTTTTAAAAAAAATTAAGGCCATACTGATGTTGACGTCCCACAGAAGCTCGTCCCACCTCCTCTATCTCACTCTGTCAACTGATCTTTCTATTCCTTTCTCCCTTGTGTGTTTATGCAGCTTCCTCCCTAAATATATCTACACTTGCGACTTCCATCCCCTGCGGGAATAGTTCCTCATTCTCAACTCTGGTGATGTTTTTCCTGAATTCCGATGGGATTTATTAATCACTGTCTGTCTGATACTGATGGCTGCAAATGCTGGTCTCCGTAATAGTGCGAGCATCTTTTCTACATCCACTCTTTTGAACCCCTCCATAATTTGAAAAGTCTCTATCAGATGATCACGTCTACTAAGAGAGCCCCATCCTGTTCAGTCTTTCCCCACTGACTCAGTGTCCACGTGTACAGAGTAGAATGATCCTACCTGACTGTGACAGCCCTTATCCCTCCCTGCAGCTACCCAACTAACTCCATTTATTTAAACTCTGCTTCTGTAGACAGGGACGCTGACCGAGGATGGTCTGGACACGTGGGGCTTTCTCCGAGCTCGGGATGGAAGGTGAGGCTAATAACGTTTTCCCCCAGCACCTTAATGTGTGTGTGTGTGTTTGTGTCTGTCTGTCTGTCGGTAGAGCATCTCAACTTGAATTGGAATTGTGATGATCCACCTGCTTCCTGTTTCTAACTTGGTTCTAAGTAACCCAGGCATGATGATCACAGCAGTGGATGGTCATGTAACCCAGAACAACCAGTCAACGCTGACCATAATCCCAAACTAAACTTGTCCCACCTGCCTGCACTTGACCACTATCCTCCCAAACATTTCATTTTCATGCATTTAGCCAAATGCCTTTTAACTGGTGTGACTGTATCTGCATCCACCACTTCCTGTGGAAGTTCTTTCTACACATGAGTCACTTGCTGTGTCTTTTTTTTTTTAAAAAAAAAAGCCCCTCTGTACTGTCTTGTGTAAATCTTTCTCCCCTCACCTTAAAAGTATGCTCCCTACTCTTGAAAAGCCCCACCCTAGGGAAAAGGAACATGCCATTCGCCTTATCTATACCCCTCATGATTTTATAAACCTCTATAAAGTCACCCTTCAACCTCCTACACGCCTGAGAAAAATAGCCCCAGCCAATCCAGCCTCTCATAACTCAAACCTTCCATTCCTGGCAACGTCCTGGTAAATCTCTTCTGAAACGTCTTCAGCTTAATATCCTTCCTATAACAGGACAACCAGAACTACACACAGTACTGCAGAAGAGGCCTATCCAACGTCCTGTATAACCTCAACATGACGTCCCAACTCCTATACTCAAATGACTGCATAATGAAGGAAAGCGTGCTAAACATCTTCTTAACCAGCCCCTCTGACTGTGATGCAAACTTCAAAGAATTAAGTACCTGAACCCCTAGGTCACTCTGTTCTCACTACCCAAGGCCTTACTTTTAATTCTGTAAGTCCTGCCTTTGTTTTGTTTTACAAAATGCAATCTGTCGCATTTGTCCAAATTAAACTCCATCTGCCACTCTTCAGCCCATTGTCTCAATTGATCAAGATATAGGGTCATAGAGATATACCTTTGTAATCTTTTATAACCTTCTTCACTGTCTACTATATCACCAACCTTGGCGTCAGCCGCAAATTTACTAACCACGCCTCCTGTATTCTCATCTAAATCATTTGTATAAATGACAAACAAAAGTGGACCCAGCACCAATCCATACACACATGTCTGTATGGTAGCATAGTGGCTGTGGAACTAGGCTAACAACCCAGTGTGGTCTGCTCAGATTCCACCAGGGAAATTGAGAAACCGATTTCAGTGAATTTATGACAGGCTGGAATGGAAAACATTGAGTTATCAAATCTTGTAGTGCAGGAGAATGATGTTCAGCTCATCACGTCTGTGATGATTGTTTTGAGGAAAAAAAATCATCTAGTTAAGATTGACTCTTAAGCATCTAAAAAAGAGGAGGGAAGGTGGTATGAATGAAAACATCGAGGAGAGAGTGATGAAGGGCAGAATCAATTTAGTTGGTGCAAAGGAACAAAAAGGTGGCGGTCACATTCCTGAGTCTGGTCTGTAGCCCATTAACTGATGGAGAAAATCTAAACTTGCCAAGAAATTAGAAGTGAAGTATGGAGTAGTTATAATGGGGGAAGAGAGGGTTTGGTTATCTGAATATATACCTGGATAGTAGTAATGTAAAGGACACAAAAGGGCAAGAGTTTCTAGAGTGTGTTTAGAAGTATTTATACTCAAAGTAAAATAGCACCAAGGCATTTGGAGAGCTGGTGTAGACATGATGGGCCAAATAGCCTCCTACATCGTAACTTCTCTGATTCAGAGAAAGGAGGCACTGGCTCTTGAGAATGAAGTGAGCCACGATGGTCAAGTGTCAATTGTGGAGCATTTAGGGATGGTGACCAATTGTATTGTAAAGTTTGGGCTACCTGTGGCATAGGAGAAATGATAGCCCAGTGTAAGAATAGTTAATGGTGGAGAACCACCTTTGTTGGGATGAGAATGAACCTAACCCAGATCAATTACAATCAAAGGTTAGCAGAGAGTCTGAAACTGACTGCAGCTGGAGTACTGCATGCAGTTCTTGTTGCCACCTTATAGAGAGGATGTGGAGGAGACTTACCAGGATGCCACCTGGGCTGTGAGGGTCTGAGCAATGAGGAAGGATTAGATATGCCTGGGTTGTTTTCCTTGAAGCAGCGAAGGTTGAGAGGGATAACCAGATAGAGGTGTCAAAGACTGAGGGTCGTAGTCTGGATAGGAAGGCACTTTTTCCATTAGTGGTGGGTCAATATCCAGGGGGCATAGATTTAAAGTAAGAGGTAGCAGGCCAAGAGGAGAATTGAAGAAAAATCTTTTCACTCAGGGTGGAGAGAGACTGGAACTTCCACCTGCAAGCCTGGTTGAATCAGAAGCCCTCCTAACATTGAAGCAGGATTGAGATATAAATTACTTGCATTGCCATAGTCTCCAAAACTATGGAAAAATGGGATGAGTGTAGTCAGATCTTTATTTACCGACACAGACACAATGGCTGAATGGCCTCCTCCTGGGCTGCAAGTAACTATAAATCTGACACCTTTAAAGAAAAGAGAGCATGGGTACAGTCTGTGTATATTCCCTGAAGGCTAAAGGTGGGACTAGCAAAACCAGAGCTCCTGGATGACGAAAGTGATGCATCTCAAAGGTTCAACAAGGTAGCTCAACAACACCTTCTCGAGAATTAGGGATGGCTGATGAATTCTGACCCAGCCAGTGACACCCATATTTGAGTGAATAACACCAAAAGAAAATTAAGAAAACGGGCTTTTGACAGATGTCAGATAGATACTGAGAGTGCAAATCCAACTGAAGATAGAAGCTTCAGAGGCGAAGAGAGAGTATAAAGAGTGACTACAGCCAATACAGAAGGAATGCGAAGTTTTCTATTGGTTTGCAAGTAAAAGCTAGTGAGAAGAGGTGTGGAACCAATTTTGGAGCAAAAGGGGAGCTACACCTGGAGTCATAGAGGTCTACATCATGGAAGCAGGTTCTTTGGCCCAACTTGCCCATGCTGCCCAGTTTTTACAATTGAACTAGTCCCATTTGCTTGCCTTTAGTCCACAGCTATCCCATCCACGTACCTGTCTAAATGTTTCTTAAATGACAAAATTGTACTCGCCACCACCACTACCTCTTGCGGCCGTTCCAGACACTCTCCACCCTCTGTGTGAAACAGTTGCCCCTCCAGACCCTTTTGTATCTCTCCCCTTTCGCCTTAAACCTATGCTGTCTAGTTTGAGACTCCCCTACAATGGGGAAAAGCTATCTGCTAGCTACCTTATCTATGCCCCTCATGATTTTATAGACTTCTATAAAGTCACCCCTCAGTCTCCTATGTTCCAGGGGGGAAAAAGTCCCAGTTAATCCAACCTTTCCATTTAACTCCAACCTTCCAGTCCAGGATAGCGTCCTAGTAAATCTTTTCTGCACTGTTTCTAGTTTAATAATATTCTTTCTATAGCAGGGTGACCAGAATCGCATGCAGCACTCCAAATCTGGCCTTGTCAACATCTTGTACAGCTGCAACAAGACGCCCCAACTCCTATATTTGGTGCTCTGACCGATGAAAGCAAGCATACTGGAAGCCGCCTTCACTGCCCTGTCTCCTTGTGGCTCCACTTTCATAGAGCTATGAAACTGTACCCCAAGGTCTCTTTGTCCTATAACACTCCTCAGGGTCCTACCATTGACTTTGTAAGTCCTGCCCTGTTTTGACCTACCAAAATGCAACACCTTGCATTTATCTAAATAAAATTTGAGGCTGGGGGGTGACGTGGCTCAAGTACTAAGGAATACTTTGCACCTGTCTTTACCAAGGAAGAAAGTGTAGCTCAGGTTATGGTGAAAAAAGAGGTAATTCAGACACCTGAATCGGTGACAAGGTGCTGTTGAGTAGGCTGTAAACATGATAGAACGCCAGGACTGGATAAGGTGTACCCAATGGAATTGAGTGGAAATTGTTGGGGCACTGCCCAAAACTTTCCAATCTTCCTTAGGCTCGGATGGTGCCAGAGGACTGGAGAAATGCATATTTTGGAAAAGTCTTATGAATGTTGTTGATACCGCTGAATAGAAGGGAATAGCAGGACTTTGAAGCCTCCGAATTTGTATTTGAATTAGGTTTATTGTCGCTTGTATTCACGTGAATACAGTGAAAAGTACAGTCGCCACTTAATGGCGCATCTTCATTATGAAGGTGCCTAGGTACAGAATCTTGGGTGCAAAGCAGAAAAATAAGGAAAACAAAGTTTTAAAAAGTTAAGCATTACAGTCCGCCTCACTAAATAGTGGGAAAGCAAAGAAACACGGTTAACAGTTTAACACCACAGTCAGTAAGGGCCTAGCCATGCTGGGCACTGACTCCACAAAAGGGCTCGACCTCCCCTGCTTCGGGTCAGACCTCGCCCCGGGCTGCCCGCTCCCACCCTCCTGCTGCAGTACTGGTCTGGACCTCAAAGAAGCCATGATGCCATCAACCATCTTAGTTCTGCTCAGGCACACCAGCCTCCTCGTTCCTGACCAGCCAAGCCCCCAGCCGCTGCTGTCATCGCAGCCTGCACAACCGAGCTCCCTCCAGAAGGTAAAACTGATCTGAAACTACAGAGTCTCCCAATAAGAGCAGGGTTATTTCCGTTTCCTAATAGTTTAAGCTTGTAGCTCGCTGTCTTTCTCCTCCTTGTTTTCAGAGTTGCCCAGCACAATTTCTCTAAAATCAATCCCAGTTACTTTCAGCAATAATTGACAGGGCAGTTACCCAAACTGTCTCCTTTCTGAACTGGGCTTGTGACGCTAGCTGTTTTCACTCCCAGAGCTAGTTTCCACCTCAGTGAAGCCTGTCTTACTAGGCCCACGCAAGTAACCACTCTGTCCTGCGTGCCTCTCTTCCGTCTCTGTAGGTTTCTCTCCCTGGAGCGTGATGTCACCGGCCAGCATCTCTCTCGGTCCCGCTTTATTGCTGCCATGGCAACCTGCCACACTCTGACGAACATAGAGGGGAAGATTTCTGGGGACCCCCTGGACTGCAAGATGTTCGAGGCGACTGGCTGGGTGAGTGACCCGTTCCCCCAACCCCAACCTGAAATTGTCCAAGACTGCAATCTGTATCTGAACTCTCCAACTACCCCTTGTCCCTATGCTCCTCTCTCCCATAACAGCTCCTGCTTCAGTCAAACCTGCGTTTCAAACTTGCTGTGCTTTGTTTCCAAATCCCTCCTTAATCTCCCTGACTCTAAACTTCCACACTTCCACACCTTCCCCAGGTTGACACTATCCTGATTCAGGTCTTGAGCATCCTCCTGATTTTAATCGCTCTGCCATTGGTGGCTGTGTATTCAGCTGCTTGTGCCCTGAGCTCTGAAATTGCCTCCCTAAAACCCTCAGCTTCTCTCTCCTCCTCCTAAAAGCTCTCATTGACCAAGAATTTGGCTGCTTAAACCACTGTTACTGCCTTACATGGCTTGGGGTCAAAGTTCACTTTCTGACCGTGATGCTAAGAACACCCCAGGTGCTGTAAGGGTGGTGTGTAAATATTGAAGTGAGGGCCAGTGGCCAACACCCCTCTTTGTTTGAAACTTTGCTCACCTTTCCTCTGTTGACTTATAGGTCCTGGAGGAGCCCACCGCTGAGGAGACGGCCCTGCATGACCAGATCATGCCCACTGTTGTGCATCCGCCACGGCAGACTACCTCTGCGACACCCAGCTGTGGGGATGCCGACATGGTAGGTGGAGACAGGGGAGGCTGGGTAGGGAATCACGGAACCTGGGGCAGTGCCATGCTTGTGGTAGTGAGCGAAACGTGAGAGGAGTGTGTTACAAGAACTGCTGATTTTTTATTTTTGCTTTGTTGGAATGTGGGCATCACTGGCTAGGCTTGTATTTCTTGCCCATTCCTAACTGTTGTGGAAAGGGTTGGTGGTGAACCGCTGTAATCCATGTGGTGTAGGGATACCTGCAGTGCTGTTGGTATTGGGTCCTGGGATTTTGACCCAGAGGCAGAGAAGCAGCAGTGAAACCATTCAAAGTCAGGATGGTGTGCAGTTGAGTTGCAGGGGCTCATGCTCTTGTGCATCTGCTGTTCTTGTCCTTCGAGATGGCATAGGTCAAGTGTTTGGAAGGTGCTGTCGCGGGATTCTTGGTGAGTTGTTGCAGTGCATCTTATCGATCCCTTTCTCCCCCATCCCCCTGGGAAACATCATGTCTGCTAAGTCGTTCAACTCTTCTTCTAAGCGCCTGTTGACCTTGGTTAAGTCAACTGGGGTAGATTAATCCAAATAGCACAAGTCTTGACAGCCGAGGCAAGTCAATTTATTGGTTCCATTAAATCAGCAGACATACCAGCAACTTGTACATCAGTGGATTAACCTAGAGAGTAACCGCAGAGGGTCTGTACACCACTGATCAATCCAGCTGGGGTGTGTATGTGAGAGATTTACTGGAGCAGGTACAAAGAAAAATGTTCACAAGGGTAATGCAAAACTGGGAGGTCATAGCAATCAGGAAAAACTGAATAGGCTGTCATGTCTACCTGAGTCCCCTTCAAAATAGGAGATCGATCTCAGGAGTCAAATTTCACCCAGTAAAGGGTTAACCTGATCCAGCAATTACTAAAATGCCTTCATCAGTTGGTGTGAAATTTATCTTTGTTTTACGTGGTTGGAGAATGATATGTAGAGAGAAGAGCTATGTTGGAAAACACGGTGAGCAGCACCAGTCACAATGTATGGAAAGGTGACAATAGTATACTGAGATTTTTTTTCTCCCTTACTCTGCAGGAGCTACAGGAGCTGATGGTGAGTACAGCACTCTCCCCTCCACTCCATCTGTTTCTACTGCATTCTTTCTTTGACGACGGAAGGTAAAAGTTGCCGCGGCCCCAGAGGACTGTAATTAGAACGCAGCGGCCAGTGGTGAGTTTAACCCCGAGGGTCACCACACCTCGGGTGAGGGGACGAGGTTCAGAAGGCAGGGCCTCAGCCTGTATGGGAGTTAACCTGCACCATTGGTGTCACTCGGTGTCGTAAACCGGCCATCCAGTCAACTGAGCGTATTGGAGCTGCAGGCTAAAGATTTGACGTGATATCTTGACCGAAAACAGGTTTTAAGGAGTGTCTTAAAGAAGAGGGGCGCAGAGCAGTTGAGGGAGGGCATTCCGGTTTTGCTTGTTGAGGTGTAATTGTCAGTTTTGTGTCCCTTCCCTCGAGGTGTGAGTGCCACTGACAAAAGCCAGCCATCGCTACCCATCTCCAGTTGCCCTCCAATTAAAATGAAGGATGCTTGAGAGGTTAGAATCGGGCAGATCTGAGGGTTACCTGTCACAAACATTGAGAGGGCCAAGGCCTCGACAGGGTTTATGTTAAACTACCTGAAGCTTGCCATCACCCACAATGCACCTTGTGTCCTCACCACCCCCAAAATAGGTCAAGTGTAAAGTGGTAACTGATTTATTGTCATGTGTACTGAAGTACAGTGAGAAGCTTTGTTTACGAGCAGTACAGGCAGATCATAGTAAGCAAGGATGTACAGATCAAAACAACTTGGACAGCGGTACAGGGCATGCGCTAGGAAAGATCAACATTAACAAGATCAATCATTATTTGAGGCTAGAGAGTCCATTCAACAGTCTAATAATGACCGGGAAGAAGCTGTTCCTGAACCACCTCGTGCATGCGTTCAGGCTTCTGTATCTTCTGCCTGACGGAAGAGGTTGTAGGAGATTATAACTGGAGTGCGATGGGTCATTGATGTTTGCAGCCTTTCCGCGGCAGCGAGCTGTGTAAATAGAGTCCATGGATGGAAGAGAGATAGTAGGAACTGCTGATGCTGGAGAATCTGATATAATGATGATTTTTTTCTGAAGAAGGGTCTAGACCCGAAACGTCAGCTTTCCTGCTCCTCTGATACTGCTTGGCCTGCTGTGTTCATCCAGCTCTACACCTTGTTATATCTGTGGACGGAAGGTTGGCTTCCGTGATGATCTGGGCTGTGCACACCGCCTTCTGTAGTTTCTTCCTGTTTCTGGGCAGAGCAGTTGCCATACCAGGCCGTTATGCACTTCGACAGTATGCTTTCAATGGTGTATCTGTAGAAGTTGGTGAGGGACCTTGCAGGCATGGCAAATTTCCTGAGCTGCCCAAGGAAGAAGAGTCGTTGTTGTGCCTCCTTGACTGTCGCGTCTACATGGGAAGTCCAGGACAGGTCAGGTTATCGTCACTCCAAGGAACTTGACACTTTCCACCCTCTCAACCTCAGTTCTGTTGATGTAGATGGGGGTGTGTTCACCTCCTTTCTTTCTGAAGTCAGTAAGCTGTTCTCTAGCTTTTTTTGACGTTGAGAGAGAGGTTGTTTTCATTGCACCACATCGTCAAGCCCTCTATCTCCCTTCTGTATTTTGACTCGGTGCTGTTAGATATCCGTCCCACTACGGTGATGTCGTCACTAAACTTGTAGATGGTGTTTGTTTGGAGTTTGGCAACGCAGCCATGGGTGTACAGGGAGTACAGTAGGGGGCTGAGGACACATCCTTTGGGAGTTCCAGTGTTGAGTGTTATTATGGTGGAGGTCTATGGGTCAGAAAGCAGAGGATCCAGTTGCAGAGGGCGGAGCCGAGACCAAGGTCATGGATTTTTGAGATCAGCCTGGAAGGGAATAATAATGTTGAAGGCAGAGCTGTAGTCAACGAGAGGGAGTCAGATGTAGGTGTCTGTCATCCAGATGTTCCGGGGTGAGAGCAGGGCTAGGGATATGACATCCACTGTTATGTCGATAGGCAAATTGTAGGGGCTCAAGGCAGATGTGGGCCATGACCAGCCTCTCTCAACACTTCGTGATAAGGCCATATGTATCAGGGTGAGGAGGTAGATATCCCAGAAGTGGATTTGTGGGGCTTGACACCCCAATGACTGAAGCTGCCCCATCAATGGGGATGGTATTTGTAGGCCAAGATTGCCATGGGCATGCTACTTTTCCAGTGGGAGGTCGCTCTGACACCTGGAGGTTGGGGACGGTCCAGGATGAGGAGCAGGGAAGTGGGCAGCCAAATGTCTCCTGGATTTACGTCCTGCTGCAGCCCCAGCACCAGGGGAGAAACCGGTCAACTGGCCACTCACCTGTATAGCTTGGTGGCGGGATCTTCCTGTTTACAAAATGGCTACCGCTTTGGGCTACACTGTCTTGAGGCAAACACTGTTGGTGCGCTTTGTTTGTCCTGTTGTCTTTGGCCACCTTTGTTTTTATTTTCACTTTTGCTTCCCTGCAGAATTGCTACGAGATCGGCATCATCAGCCAGTTTCCCTTCTCCTCCGCGTTACAGCGTATGAGTGTGGTAACCCGGACTCTCGGTGAGAGGCGGCTCGCTGCCTACATGAAGGGGGCGCCAGAGACCGTGGCCAGCCTGTGCAAGAAAGAAACCGGTGGGTTTGGTGTTCTCCTTCACACCCACATGTTGGGGCTTGAATCATCCCAAACCCCACCACCCCTGCTCCTGTTCTGTATCTCCGCCCCTGTCTGCCTGATAAATTGAAATGGGAGTTCCAGTGAGATCCCTTCACTCAAAGTGGTGGGAATGTGAGCCTCAAAGTTACAGAAAAGGCAAGAATTAGTTCAGTTTCTACCAAAACCAAGGCTATGACTGCTCCTTGACCTTATCTTTTGTTTTTGTGGTAGTTCCAGAGAATTTTGCGGAAGTCTTAGAAAAGTACACGCGACTGGGACTGAGGGTGATCGCTCTGGCTCACCGCAAGCTGGAAGCAAAACTGACTTGGCACAAGGTGCAGAATGTCAACAGGTATGACTGGATCAGCTGTGATCATGTTGAACGGTGGAGCAGGCCTGGAGGCCTCAATGGCCATGCCTGCAACTATTTTTCAGTGTTCCTCTGTGAAGAACTGCCTGTGGTCATGAGATGCCCTGTATAAATGCAAGTCATTATTTCGTTCCCACGTGTACTTCCCAGCAGCAATCACAGCAAACGGCTCCTCTGGTTTCTAACTTCCCCTGGCCTTCTCCCCAGTCCAGCATATCTGGCTGTTCACTTACTGGGGATTCCACAACAAACAGTCTGCTGTCTGGTCTGTGCTATTTACCAGTGGAGTAAGTTTTGCTCCTCATCTCTGATGATAAAAGCTAACCCAACCACAAGAGATGGTTGTCTCAGTCTGACCTTGCAGCCATTCCTGATGGGTTACCAGAGTTCTGGTTCCCCTGGATGCTCGGACCTTTGTTGCATGCGATCCCAGACGCTCGCGCCTCGCCTCCGATCTGTCAGCCGGGTGAGTAGGAGACCACGTTGGCCCGTACCACCAGGCGTCAGTCTAAACAGTTCGCTGTCAGCAAAGCTCCTGATACTCAGCTCATCAGCTGCAGGCTGCTCCCTTCGGACTCCCGAGAGGGCTGTGCACTTGGGGCCCTGCCTTGGGCCTAACTAAACAACATGGCTCTCTCCACAGGGCTGTGATTGAGGGCAACATGGAATTCCTGGGACTGATCATGATGCAGAACAAGCTGAAGCCGCGCTCTATTCCCATCCTCAGTGAGCTCAGGAGAGCCTGTATCCGTACAGTGATGGTGACAGGTGGGTGTTTCTGGGGGTAGGTGCAGAGAGAGAGAGAGAGAGTGAGGTGAGGAGAGTGGTCTGTATGTTAACGTAGGAAAAGCAGCAGCCAATTTACTGAAAGCAAGCTCCTGCAAACAGCAGTCAGAAATAAACAGATGATCTGTTTTGTAGCAGTACCATTTAGGACATAAATGTTTGTGGGGATAAACATTTGGGTAAATCTCCTGCTCCTTTGAGAAATATAGGTATGTCTGCTACAACGTGTGTTTCATTAACGCAAATTGGCTGTAATGCGATTGATGAATAGTGAAGACTCTCTGGATAACGCGAGCTTTCTACTGTACAGTATAGCGATTTTCTACATCACGAGGTCACACAAGAACGCAGTTATACCATAACTCGTGTTATAGCAGAACTACCTGTAGTACAGGGTTTTTTTTTTTGCATCTGTCTATGGTGGGGTCCTCGATGTGTTGTCTCATCCAAAAGACAGCACCTTCAGCAGTGCTGCACTGCCTTGGGACTGACCCTGGGAGCGTCAGCGTGGTTTACAGGGCTCAAGACTCTGCAGCAGAGCTTGAACTTTCCTTCATCTCACGGGAGCGTGGAGTGAGAAGAGAGTGAGCCACGTGTTGGGGTCGAAGCATGTAATGACTTGTGGAAAGTGGGGGGCCGGGAGGGGGATTGGAGTGAGACGCAAGCAAGTTTGGTTGGGAGTGTGGAGGGGACTGATGGGCGATGTGTTCAGTTCTGGTCTCCCCTCTGTAAGAAAGATACTGTGAAGCTTGACAGGATTCAGATAAGCTTTACAAGGATGTTGCCAGGATTGGAGGGTTTGAGCTATAGGGAGAAGCTGAATAGGCTGGGGCTATTTTCCCTGGAGCATTGGAGGCTGAGGGGTGAGGTTTATGAAATCATGAGGGGAGATGAGTCAGGGGCTGTAAGCAGCACTTTCTAAACCTTCCATTTCTCCCAATTTCCACCCCCCGCCCAACCCCCCAAACAAAAACCCTCCGATTGCAGGGGACAATATGCTGACAGCGGTCTCTGTGGCCCGTGAATGTGGGATGATCCCGCCGAACGGGAAGGTGATAGTGACGGAGGCGTTGCCACCGAAGGATGGTCAGTCTGCCACCATCAACTGGCAGTACGCCGAGGATCCAAGTGTGTGGAAGAAGCCGGTGGCAAATGAAACCAAGGTGGGGAAACCGATGGCGTTGCTCAGTCTATGCATAGCTGTTCTGCATTAGCAACTTCTTAAGGAGCATCTCAGTGGGAGTATTGAGTCCAAATGCCACTCTTTTTAAGGAGGATGTCAGGATCTTTGGAGAGGGTGCGAAGAGGATTCACTGGATGGGTACCTGGGGAAGAGGGCCTATGCAAAATCACAAGCGTTATGGCTCAGAAGGAGGCCATTCGGCCTTTCATGTCCGCACCAGCTCTTCAAACGGACATCATTACCTACTGCCAATTTCCTGCTTTGACCCCATACCCTTGTGCATTATTTCTATTCCATTCAGTTATGTGGAGACTTGGAAAGCTGCAAAGCCTTCCTTTCTAGAGGAGAGTTCATTGAGTTTACAAACTCATGAGGGATGATAGAATGAGGAAAGAGAAACTAGTCGGAAGATCTGTAACAAGGTTGAAAAAAGTTGGTTGAATTGGGGATGAGAATGGTTGTTTTTTTAGGTGCTGAGTTGACCTGCCTGAAACGGCAGTAGATGCGTATTCAATAGGAACTTTCAAATGAGAAACAATTAACCCAAGGGTAAAAGAGAGAAAAATCAACCAGGGCTTGCTGCCACTCCCATACCAGCTGGTGCATGGTTTCCTGGTTTAGCAGAATCATACCCTGCAGTCTGCTTTGCTCCACCATCATGCTTGGGAAATGGGATAACTTGATTGAGTTAACTGAGATGACTGTAGCGCGCACACGTCAGGAGTGCAATGGAATGCTCCCACTCGCCTGAATGGGTGCAGATCCAACAAAACTCAAGAAGCTTGACACCATCCAGGACAGCAGCCTGCACTGCAATCCACTACCTTCAACGTTCAGTCCCTCCAACAGTGACACGCAGCAACAGTGTGTTCCATTGACAAGAGGCACTGCAACAACTCACCCAGGCTGCTTTCCAAACCGAAGGGTCCTGACCCGAAACGTCAGCTTTCCTGCTCCTCTATCGCTGCCTGGCCTGCTATGTTCCTCCAGCTCCACACTGTGTTGCCTCTCTCTGAGCCTGGCACTTATTGCTGTATCGTATTTCTAGGGGCAAGGTCTTTTCTCGATGTCGGTCAATTGTCTGAACCTTTTTGGCCAGACATTGGCTGATTGCTGTCCCCTTGCCCGTACTTGTTTGAGGGCTAGTTTACCATTCTCTCTGAGCTTATTTTCCAAAACAACGCGCTGATAATTGGGTACATTTGGTGTCAGATGGATTGCTGATTACAGTCTTGGGCACTGTAACTTCTGTTTTTTGTAATTCTTCCCTTTGTTTTCATATGCTAGAACTTTGGAAAATTAAGTACAGCACAGCTGCCTCACGGTGCCAGGGATCTGTGTTTGATTCCAATCTCCCCACGTCTGTGTGTGTTTCATCCAGGTGCTCAGATTTCCTCCCACAGTCCAAAGATGTGTAGGTTAGGGTGGATTGGCCATGCTAAATTACCCCACAGTGTTCAGGGATGTGCAGGATGGGTGGATCAGCCATGGGAAATGCTGGTTTACAGAAATAGGTCCGGGTGGGATGCTCTTCAGAGGGTCATTGTAGACTCAATAGGCTGAATGGCCTGCTTCCACACTGTAGGGATTCTCTGATGAAGTACCGCCGTAATAGTTGTTAAATGAAAGCCCATGCTTTGCAGTAAATACTGGTAAATTCAGTCTTTTTAAGCAATCCCAATATTCAACAATTAAGTTGTGCTGCTTTCAGTCCAGTTCACCAATGGGACCAGATCCTGTTAAGGTGATTTTGGAACCCCCTCGGTTCATTTTGAGCAACCAGTGCGTACGTTGTGCGTCTGCCTTTAGCGTTTCTTAGATCAGATGCTTCGACCTTCCCTCACTGATTTTTTTTTTTCACATCCCAGGATCTCCATATAAACATGGAGAACGACAGCCTGAAAGACAGACCCCAGCCACCTGAAATCTCCTACCATTTCGCCATGAGCGGAAAATCCTTCTCTGTGATCACGGAACATTTCCCGGACTTGCTTCCCAAGGTTAGCCTGTGTTTCCTTTCTGGCTCTCTGAATGTGAAAGTGTGGGAGTGTATGCGTGTGACCCAGACCCTCTAAGCATCTGTTGTCAATGGCTTGGCTGTATATTGGTTCCTGCCAGAATACCTGGAAAGTTTGCCAGCAAACCTGACCCCGTCCGCCTGCTCGTTTTATTACTCGAAATGGCATTACTGAATCGTGGAATCATAAAATACAGAAACAGGCCATATAGCCTAACACAGCTCTGCTGTTGGTTCTGCACAAGAGCCTCCTCCCAAATGTGCTGTTGGCATCTTTTCCTAATGTTTTTCTCTCCCCAGTGTGCTTATCCAACATTCTGTTCAATATAACTAATTCGTAATTTGAGCTGACTTCCTAATTTCACACTAGTTTGCTCAGTTTCTTTCCCCTATTTTCTATTTGCTTTTCTCTCGCCCTCTCTCGCCCTCTCTCGCCCTCTCTCGCCCTCTCTCG